CTAACACAGAGCCCTGTGGAATGCTGTGACTAACTTCATTTTGTGTGGAAGATTCATCATTAACATGAACAAATTGAAATCTTTCTGATAAATAAGATTTGAACCAACTTAGTGCAGTTCCTTTAATCCCAATAACATGTTCAAGTCTCTGCAGCAAGATGCTGTGATCAATGGTGTCAAAAGCAGCACTGAGATCTAAGAGGACAAGTATGGAGACAAGTCCTTTATCAGAGGCTAGGAGAAGATCATTGGTGACTTTCACCAGTGCTGCTGTACTATGATGGGCTCTAAAACCTGACTGAAAATCCTCAAACAAATCATTCTTGTGCAAGTGGTCACATAACTGCTTTGCAACAGCTTTTTCAAGGATTTTGGAAATAAATGGGAAATTGGATATTGGTCTATAATTAGATAGGACACCTGGGCCAAGAGTAGGCTTTTTGAGTAGAGATTTAATTACTGCAGCCTTAAAAGCCTGTGGAACATAGCCTGTTAATAAAGAGAGATTAATCAGATCTAGTATGGATGTGTTGATTAGGGGAAAGATGTCTTTGAGCAGCCCGGTCGGGATGGGGTCCAGAAGACATGTTGATGATTTAGATGAAGCAATTGTTGAGGTCAACTCAGAGAAATCTATGAGAGAGATTTTGTCTATTTTACAATTTTTCTTGAAAGAATTGTGTACACATTTATTTTGCCATCAGGAACTTGGGGGGCGGCTGCAATGGGGGATTTACTAACCTATCAACAGTGGCATGAGTGTTATTAATATTTCCATTTATGATATTAGAAAGATAAACCTGACTAGTTCTGCATAGCTCAGAGTTATAATGATGTTTTTTCTCTTTGTAGATGTCATGGTGAATCTGAAGTTTAGTTTTTCTCTAACAATAAACACTCAAATACTGTACATTGCCCTGCATTAGGTATTTTTGAGTAGTTGCTCAGAGATCCTTATGGCTAAAACACAGGTTTCTTTCCCCCATTGTTGGATTAATTGTGTGAGTAATATTCGATTGTTCTTGATTTCCTGGTTGTTTAGTCTCTACTGCTGTTCCTGATTCTCTCCAGTGCTGCTCTGCCCTGTTTTTAGGTGCCTTGATTTGCTTATTTGTGCTGTGTAAAATGTAACATTCTGATGACGCTACTTGTGTGTATTGGTTCTAATGCTTTGTTGCCTTTATGCAACAGTTTATTTTAAGACTAAGTATTCTTTGTTACTACGTACTTATGTACGATGCACCGCAAGGAGTGGCAGCAAGTTACAGCAGCTGTGTCCTTGTTGTGTTCTTTCTCGTGTTTCTATGAAGTTCTGTTCTTATGTGTCTGTTCTTATGGTGGTGTCTGTTCTTATGGTGTTATGTTGGTTGTTCTCTATTGCTGCTGTAACACAGAAATTTCCCCACTGTGGGATCAATAAAGTACCCTACTTTACTCTACTCTACCCTACTCTACTCTAATACATTAATATGAGATTCTTTCCTATCTATACCAACCTTCCCAAATTACATGAGTAATGGCTCCCTGTATAAACTGAATTTATTATAACTACTAAACATCAGCATGTTGGCATTGTTATTTTGAGCATGTTAATATACACTGATCAGGCATAACATTATGACCACCTACTTAATACTGTTTACATAAAAGTCCCTGTGGCAGTGTGTTGTCACTCGTGTCACTCTGCGGCTCACTGTGCATCTTCTGTGAATCCATTTGCTTCCACAGTTCTACTGTCAGGAAGAGCATAGATGTGCCTACAATTCAGTGAAAAACATTTGTAAAAGGAGTGAAAACTGTGGTCGTGAGGACGAGTTAGAGAGAATTGTTTAGACAAATCCAACAGCCTCACCACTCTAGGTGTGATATCACCACTACAGCCCCTGACTCTTTCTCTTCATAGAGACCAATGTACAGTGTTTCTCATTTTCAAATATTTTACCAAAGATTCAAATACATTTTAATCTTTTGAAAAGTACAAATGGAAGTTAAAAGTTTAATCTACAGTAGGTCAACCTCATCATCAGTGAACCGTGGGCGTCCATGACCCTGTCTCCAGTTCACCATTTGTCCTTCATTAGATACTGTTGGTAGGTACTAACCACTGCAGACCAAGAACACCCACCAAGACCTGCAGTGTGGGAGATGCTCTGACCCAGTCATCTCACCATCACAGTTTGGCCCTTGTCAAAGTCACTCACATCCTTACACTTGCCCATTTTTCCTGCTTCCAACACATCAACTTTGAGGACTGAATGTTCACTTGCTGCCTATTATACCTCACACACTGACAGGTGCCACTGTAACAGATAGTAAGTGTTATTTCACTTCACCTGCCAGTGGTCATAATGTTATGGCTGATTAGTGTATATGTTATTTATATAGCACATTTCATATGCAGTTCAAAGTGCTTTACACAGGCAAAGAAAAACAGTAACATCTTTAAAAATGATATGCATTAAAAATCTGATTCCTGCTCCTGCCAGGTGAACTACACTCTGCTAGGGGATATTTGTCACCTGTGGAGGAATTACGATGATATCCAGGATTCGTGGGACAGTGTGCAAGGCATTATTGACTGGTTCTCCAATAACCAGGATCATCTCCAGCCAGCTGCAGGTCCTGGAAGATGGAATGACCCTGACATGGTATGATGAAAATAAATTACCAGTGGGCTATTGTCATGGTGAGAGTTCTGGGGTGAGAAATTAATTCACAGACAAGTCACTATCATTCAAATAATTATTTATTGGTTGAACAATGTGAATAATAAATGTTGAAGGCAAGATACGGAATCACCTTGTCAATTGTCAGTCAGTTCATCAGTTCGGCCCTTCTCTCCTCTCGTTTCTTTTCTCTTCCCGAATCACACACACACACACACCCCAGAGCACTGGCTCCTTTTCTTATCCCCAAATAACTTTTTCCTGTCTTTGTCCTACTGTGATGTCAATAGCCTCTTAACTTCCCTTTTATGGTAAACCACCCTTGGAGATGTTCTCAAAAACAGGAAGAATGGCCTGACAAACTGACACCTTCGAACAAAAGGGCAAAGCCTGCTGTTGGTGTTACATAAGCCTTTTTTCACCTGAACTGACCCAGCTTAATTAGATCCTCTCTCCACTTTGCTAAGCATTCCATCTCAAGGCAGCCTCCAATGGTAGCCTCAGGCGAGATGCAAGCTTGTAAATCTGGGTTGTCAGCCTGGGAGTTGCCCTGTATCTTAATATTAATATTTCTTCAATTTTTTCTGAGGGTCCAGTACAATATGGTGATATGCTTCCCTGCCTTTTTGATGATAGTGCTGATGTTGGACATCTATTTAAGTTCTTGGGAGGTTGTGAAGCCCAGGAACTGGAAGGACTGTTGATACAGTGCTGCTGAGTATGGTGAAGGGGGGTAGAATGTGGGGATCTCCTTCTGAGGTCTACTCTTATCTCCACTTTTTTTCAGTGTGTTCAGCTCCAGGATATTGTGACCACACCACAGGACCAGCTATTCAAATTCTTGTCTGTAGGCAGACTAGTCCTTGTCATGAATGAGGCAGATGACTTTTGTGTAGTCTGTGAACTTCAGGAGTCTAACAGAAGGGTCCTCTGAGGTGCAGTCATTCACTTTGAAACAAGGCACCATTTGTTAGAAATTAACCCAATTCTTTTGTTGGAAGCACGTGTTAGAAAATAACCCGATTCTTTTGTTGGAAGCACGAGAAGTGACGACAGGAGAGGACTGTTTAAAATCAACAAAAAGTTTACTGAATGTCTGATCACAGGTAGGCCTTACAGTGCTGGGATCAGAGGGACAGAGCTCCTGCAGGAGTTCCATCCTCTGAACCCCGAATTAAGTTCTTACAATACATTTTTTGTTCTTGGGCTGCTCTGCTCTGGACAGGGGTGCAACCTTCTGAAGGACTTTGGTTCTTCTTACCATTGCTAACTCTGAGAGACGAGACAGTCCAAGTAACTTCAAAACAGTGCTGAGTTATTCAAAGGATCACAGGTAAAATTAACATTACACGCTCAGATATCTTGCACCTCCATACTGCATACAGGCAGATGTAAGATGAAAGACCCTGAACCCACCAGGCCTATACATTATATCACCTCGGTTGGGCTAGCCCCATACTACACAGAAACGTCAACCGAGATGTCTCTGTTACCAGCTTTGCAGCTGGCCATAGCAGTGGTCAAAACATGAAGCAAATCAATGTGTGTGTGTGTGTGTCTGTTGATTAAGTGGTGTGTAGCTAAAAACATTCTCAAGACCTTTAGTAACATGTCGTGACTTAAACATAAGAACATATTATGGCTAAGGCTACAGTTATACATGTCATAATAATAATATTAAACACCCTGTCTGCTGACAGTCATCAACTCCTCTCTAGTATCCTTGACCAGATGTACCCTGTAGAAACTCATAAGCATGCCTAAGCATTTAACAGTCTAACTAGACATCCTATCGCCACTAAACATTTCTAAAACATAAAGTATCTATCCAATTTCTATCTGACTAAAAATACCTAACACTTCAATAGTTTGTGATCCTATTGGTCATTTGGTGTGGGCCGGAGCTCGCACTTCCATGTTGAAATATGGTAAATCTAGGTATGTGTGTGTGTGTGTCTCAGGTGGCAGTTTGGTCTTGATCAATGGGTCCCGAACAGTGGGTGGCCTGAGTTGCAGGCCCCCTGTGTGTGTGATGCTAATAAGTATGATAAGCTGGCCAGGTGGTCCCCCCTGGCACTGCAGGGCACCCTAAGACAAAGCAGAAAGTTGTAATATACTAAGTGGGTCTAGGTGTGAGTGTAAAACAGGCCAACAGGTCTCTGTTAAAATGTAAATAGGCTGTCTGGTCACAAGGAGATTCAGACATCCTGTCTCTACACAGAAGGTACAGCAGACAGTTTCTACCTCTGTATCACTTGATTCTCATAAATACAATTGTAAGATACATAAGCAAGGAAAATAAATGCATTAAGAATAACCAAAGCTCAGTAGTTCTGGACAATCATCAATACAACTGTAATATGACCTCCCTCCTGTAGGCTGCTTCGTCCTCTCCAGTGATGCGACTTATCATTGTGGTGTCTTCTGTAAACTTTAGGATGATGTTGTCTTTGTGGGAGGCGACGCAGTCGTGGGTGAACAGGGTGTAGAGGATGGGACTGAGGACACATCCCTGCAGGGTGCCAATGTTCGTAACAATGCTGGCTGAAGTTCTGTTGCCAATCCTGACAGTCTGGCGCTTGCCAGTCAGAAAGTCCAGGAGCCAGTCACAGAGGGTGGGGTGCAGACCCAATGTGAACAGTTTGTGCATGAGTTTGTGCGGGATAACTGTGTTGAAGGTGGAGCTGTAGTCAGTGAAGAGTATCCTGATGTAAGAGTCTCCATTTTCCAGGTGAGAAAGGCAATAGTGGAGGGCAGCAGCGATAGCATGTGAGGTGGCCCTGTTGGGCCGGTAGGCATACGGCAGGGGGTCCAGGGTGTCCGGTATACTGCAGCATGTGGCGTACCTGTTTATCCAGGGCTTCTGGTTGGGAAACCTCCTGACTTGCATCTCCGTCTCTGGGTCGCTCTCCTGATTTCAGCCTGCTCGCTCATGCTTGGTGCTTCCGGGGCTTCCTGTGGGTGATGGTGGTCGTTGTGGGAGCGAACAATGAGTTGTAGCTCCAGTGGTATGAAAACGGTAAATTCCCAGTGGCTGTGTCAGTTGGCGATATCCAGCAATGCCTGTCTATTGTATGTTAGCAGTGCATAACATCTGTGCACTGCAGAAAGAGTAAACACAAAAAAGAGAAAATGAAGAAAAAGCCGGTATTCGAGAGTGGAACACGCAAACACATCTGCCTTGGAGGGCGCCATGAAATGCCACTACAGAGCAAGTATAACAAGTACTGATGAATGAACTGTCAGTGAGGTAACACAAACCTTACAACTGAATAAAATATAAGTATAAATGAAAATTAAAGAAGCAAATAAGTGACATAGGCAAATTATAGCAATGTAAGAACTGAAATTAATGTAAATACATCTAAAGACTACAAGCATGAGAATAAAACTTACTCTAATCCTTTAACCCCCTTGGTCTCCCATACCAGCCTCACCTGTTGGCTCCTGTTTGTCAGAAAGTTGGTGATCTACTGACACGTGTGGGCAGATACATTGAGCTGAGTCAGTTTAGAGTGGAGAGTGGCTGGGATGATGGTGTTGAACGCTGAGCTGAAGTCAATAAACAGAAACTGTGCATAGGTCCCTGGGGAGTCATGATGTTGCAGGATGTAATGTAGTGGCATGTTAACAGCACCATCCACTGACCTGTTTGCTGAGTAGGCAAACAGCAGCGGAGTCCAACCGCAGGCCTGTTATGTCCTTCAGGTGGGCCAACACCAGTTTCTCAAAGCAGTTCATGACCACAGATGTCAGGGTGACAGATCTACAGTATATTCATTGAATCCTTTGATGGTGGGTTTCTTAAGAATGATGGTGTAGCATTTGAAGCAGGACGGGACTTCACACAGCTCCAGTGATCTGGTGAATCTGTGTGAAGAAGGGAGCCAGCTGGTCAGCACAAGCTTTCAGGCAGGAGGGGGTCATGATGTCTGGGTCTGGTGCCCTCCTGGTCTTTTGTTTTTTAAAAAGGATTCATATAGCCTCTTCGCAGATTGTCAGAGGTGGGGGGCGGGGGAAGAGAGGTGATTATAGGGTAGCTGCTAGTTTTGGGACTAAGATGAGGTGGGTGAGAGTTCTGCTTCTCAAACCTGCAGTAAACCTCATTCAGCTCATCTTGTCCTCGGCCACCATCATCCATCTCTCCACAGCAGGGGAGATGGTTTCCTGTAGCTGATGATTTTTTGTAGGCTTCTCCACACAGGCTCAATTCAATTTTCAATTCAATTTTATTTGTATAGTGCCAAATCACAACAAATGTCATCTCAGGACACAAAGTAGGGTCTAGACCTTAATATTACTATTATAGATGAAAAACCCAACAAATTCCCCTTGAGCAAGCATTTGGCAACAGTGGGGAGGAAAAAAGTCCCTTTAATGGAAGAAATCTCCAGCAGACCCCAAGTTTTGGAGGGTGGCCTTCTGCTTCGACTGGTTGGAGTGAATGGATAGAGGAGAGGCAAAAAAAAAAGAAAAACAACAAGACACAAGAAACACAACCACAAACAAATACTGGTTAGGTTGATGTGGCCAGTGATTGGTCATCAGAAACATACTACTCCAGAGCCAGGGATACTTGCAGAAAGGTACAGAGAGAGAGAGAGAGGACACACTATGGGACAGAGGAGAGACAGTTAGTGATGTGTAATGGGAGCATATACAGTAGATGTAGGTGAGCTAGGGGAGTAGGGGGGGAGAGAGTAGGGGAGAAACTCAACA